GCTGATCTAAGTCAGGGCATGACTAACTCACAGATCGATCCCTGTAACAACCTCTGGGCTGATCTAAGTCAGGGCATGACTAACTCACAGATCGAACCCTGAAACAACCTCTGGGCTGATCTTAGTCAGGTCAGGGCAAGGCCAACTCACATACCAAATTGGAATTTAGAATCTTTGGCATTTGCATTTACTTACCTCTACAATAATATCTCCTTCATATAACTGTCTAGTAGCAGCAGCTGAAAAAATAAATAAAACAAATAACTTTTTTATATGTCAGCCATGATTATTCAAACTCACCTAGTAGTATCATTAGGTTTACTTCTTCATAGGTATATGAAAGTGTGAGGATTCTTTTGTCAATACCTGCCTGATTCTTGTATATTTTTGATATTGCTATTGGTAAGTTGCTTTCTTTTCCACCCTGGATAAGAAATGAAGAAAAGTCTCACATCAACATTTTTCCAATTATGAGATAACACAAGGAAAGCTAACAGTGATAGACAAATTTTGGTTTGGTTGAGAGGGGTCATTACATTTTATGAACTGCCTTTATCATCACTATTCTCATTGTTCTAGCTCACTATCATCACCATCACCATCACCATCATCACCATCACCATCACCACCACCATCACCATCACCATCACCATCATCACCATCACCATCATCACCATCACCATCACCATCACCATCACCATCACCATCACCATCACCATCACCATCACCATCACCATCATCACCATCACCATCATCACCATCACCATCATTACCATCACCATCATCAGCATCATCACCATCATCATCAACACCATCATCACCATCACCATCACCACCATCATCACCATCACCATCATTATCATCACCATCACCATCACCATCACCATCACCATCACCATCAACACCATCATCACCATCACCATCACCATCAACACCATCATCATCACCATCACCATGACAATCACCATCATCACCATCAYCAWCAYCAKCATCAYCAYCAYCATCAYCAWCAYCAYCATCASCATCAYCATCAMCAYCAYCATCATCAMYAYYAKCATCATCAWCAMCAYCAKCATCAWCAMCAYCATCAKCAYCAWCACCATCRYCATCACCRTCACCRTCACCRTCACCGTCACCGTCACCRTCACCATCACCRTCAYCAYCAYCAYCATCAYCATCACCAYCAYCACCATCACCATCACCATCATCAYCAYCAYCATCAYCATCACCAYCAYCAYCATCACCATCACCATCAYCAYCAYCAYCATCAYCATCACCATCACCATCATCACCATCACCATCATCATCACCATCATCATCACCATCATCATCAACACCATCACCCTAAACATAATCATCATTGGTACATACCCTTATGCTCATTCCCAGTCCACCCACTTTTCTCCGAGCAATACGGACCTCCCTGCGATTCTATGAAATAAAATGAAAATGCAAATTGAATTCTAAATTCTCACTTGTTCAGGGTTAGCTTCCATTTTGTAAAAAGCTCCACAATTTTTTTTCTTTCGTATTATTGAAGTTGAGCATTTTWAAATTTATGTATAATTTTGTGGTTAGAGTGCACGCACTAAAACCGTGAACATTAAATAGTGCTAATTAGTATTACTTTATACAGAATACTTTGTTTTCTATTGTTTAATTATCACTATTTAGTGCTAAAAATTAGTATTTGTTTCACAGATTTAGTGTGAGCACTCTGTTTTGATGTTAGAATAAGGCTTCCTGAAGAAATAGTTCTGTACTCAAGTATTACAATGGTATTTTACGAATATAAAAAAATAAGGAAAAGAAAAAAGCCATGGCTTAACATCAATATCACAAATGTAGGATTATTAGTAGATGCCAAATGACCTGAAAAATATCAAGAGATAAGTAAACAGGATTTTGGATGTTTTATCAGTAAATGCACTAAGATTTGATTCTATCTGTAAATACAGATCATCTTGGATTACTTCTACTCAACACATGTTATCACTGGAATTAAATAAAGAACAAAGTAGGTGTACAMGAGTAAGGAATTTGCATTTTTTCCCTTTAAAAACATTTTAGTAGATCACTGCCAAAAAAATATTACCTGAAAAAAGCTATCATCATAAAATGTAATTTAAAAATCTGACCAGTTCTTTGACACCAAGGTTAAAGCCTTTCAGTATATATTTTAGGATCACACAATAATTTGTTCATGTTGTAAGTAATAACAGATGTACATAGTGAATGTTCTCCCATCTTAGCCTGTGCGCCATTCCCTTAAGTAGCATTCTTTTCTCTACCAATTATATATTAGAAACTAGATTATTATTTATGTTCAAGAATCTCTTTTCTTTAAAATTGCTTTTTTCTTTAAAACTGCTATATTATTGGGGAAAATAGCAACGACTAAAACAAGAAGTTTGAGTGTCTACGGTAGAGATTTTTTTAAGTGGGATGAAAATGTCTGCATGGTAAATTCAAGCAGCTTTAAAATTTTCTTTTAATGACCAAATACCAATAAAAAAAATAAACAAAACATCAAAATAAAGAAGACATGTAACAGACTCAAAATAATATTTGTCGTAGTAATGCTGCCCAACAAAAATAGCAAGGAAAAAAATATCTGCATGGTAAGTTCAATCATCTTTAAAATTTCCTATCATAATAGCAAAGAAAAACCTTCAAAATAAAGAAGAAATGTAGCAGACTAGACTTTTTTGAGCTGCATATTACATGGTATCTATCAGATCTTTATAGAAAGCACTAGCACAACACAATTAAGTGACTATTACTGTGGATTAAGCAGATGGAAGCTTGATAGCTCTGCCAGACACTGGAGTGTCTTTTAATTACAAACACGTCTGAGGATATTGTTGTTTTTGAAGTGAACAGTACATTTTCCATAAAAAATTTTCACAAAGTTTTGAATAATTCTTTATTTACTTTAAGATAATAAAAAACAGGGAAAAAAGAAAAAAGCACTCGGGAATAAATATTAAAGTTTCATTAAAAAACAGTCTGCCAAAATGTCAAGAAATAATAAAAATGTCAGAAACAAAGACCTTTGAAAAATAGATATGTTTTATTTTAAGAAATTTGTATATTTTCCAATTATTTCTATTTTTCAAACTAAAATTACTCATAAGTTGATTTTTGTCAAGAACCTAGAGAAAAMCCCTTAAAGTACAGGAAAAACTAACAAGCAATAATTATACTGTCTTGTTTATGCCCCATGATGACCATAGCATTGAGTGTTGGCACACAGCGGTTGTGGAATAAGTTCGAAAGTTGGGAAGCATGGGTGGCATAACAATGAGAATGCTTGCCTCTCACCAGTGTGATCAAGGTTCAATTTCTGGATTCTGTGTCATATGAGAGTATAGGGTAGAGTTGTTTGTTAAGTCTTTCATGTGCCTCAAGGGTTTTTCTTAAGGTTATCAGGTTTTCCTTCCTCCAAAAAAATCAACTTTAATATTGCAATTCAATCATGGAACAAGAGCCAGAGATTTGTTATCACTGGTTATGAAAAGCTAACCTTGTAAAAAAGGAATATTTACATGTATATGATTTTTATTTGTGCACACTACCTGTGCTTCCCTTCAATGCTTCATCACATCACGATATTTCTAAAACAGGTTTTTGCCCAGGACAAAAATGTTTCTTAGCAAGTCAATGACAGATCTGGAATAAGCTGTAACATATCTGGCTACCAAATGTTTTTGCTGACTGGCTGATTCTCTTCMGCTCAGAAGAAAGGGCATGGCTTGCAATGCTTTCAATAATATTTTTTAATAATTCTGAGGTGTCCTTATCTATTGACACCATTTCATTAAAATCAAATTCAAAACAGGACATAGTGAAAATTCCCATGGAGTTGTGACATTTAGAGATTATACACACACTATTTGAAAAGGAAAAAGATTAATAAATCTAATTGCAGTGGAAACATCACATCAAAAAATAATAATATTAATACCACAAACATCCTATCTATGTCAAGAGTGCCTACAATAATAATACACCAGCTGGACGGAGATTATTCTATTATTTCAAAATAGAATTTGTCCCTCCAATGGAAAATTTGTGGCATAATTTTTTGTAACCTGCCAAGTTAATCAAATTGGAAGCAACTTAGACATAAAATGAATACTTTCAGGTATGGATTGTATAGAAAGGAGATAATTCAGGAAATCCATTCAAAATGTGTTGAAAATGAACAATACATGTTATGAACTTGTCAATTTTTACACATTTCTCTACATTCATTTTTTCTTGAATATTTTTTTTTCCTTGAGATTTTTTTCTGGGAAATTAAAAAAAATCTGACAGATTTTAGATTTTGAATTTCGACTGAAATTGAATAAAAAATATAAGATACATTTTGAAATTAATGATGACTGCAAAATAACACCCTAATATGCCTACACCCTATAACTACAACACGCCATGAGCAATAGAATGAAACATCACTTTTGTATCTGTAAAAATTGATGAAAAATTWAAAAAAAAAAWGAATTGGTATGGCTTGTTGACAGCTTCCTTTAAGCATTACATAAAACATCACTTAGGTTTTTCATTGCATAATTTTCTCGAGAACTAACGAAAACATCCTAGTTCTACTCGTATTTTAGCTTTAGGTTAAAAAAGCTATTTATTTTTAATATCTTATTCTTAATTTGACGGTGGAAAAGTGGTGTATTAATAAAACACCATGTAATTTTGAAAAGGCAGAGGATTTAAATCGTGAATTGGATAGAAAATAAATAAATCATTTGCACAACTTAAATCGTGCAATAGTCAAAATATCAATAACAATTAAGGACAATATAGCCTTGAGAGCAAGTCTTAGATAATACCCAAAATATCTAAAGCCGAGGCATAATTTTTTTTTTTTTTTCATTTTTGTTAGCAAGCATTTGTTTTCAAAAATTTATGGCGAAATATTWAAAAAAATATGGCTTCGAATCTCGAATGTTTTTGCTGATGTCAAGGAAGGTTCAAATTTTATTTTGACTCGATTGAACTTTCGTTCGACTTTGGAGTGCAAACTGATATTCTCAAGGATCGTAAAGAGGTTTAGTTAAATATAATATTTGAGATTTACAAGCAGTAGCTTGAAGATGTGGTTCGACTTTTTGACCCTATTTTTTCACCACAAAGTTAAAACGTGCGTAGGAGATTGGTTTTTAGCGTCAAAGGAGGAAAAAGGCATTGAAATTRTGTGAAGCAAAACAAAACAAGCAATTACTTAAGCTTACATTTCCTGAACCGGTAGCTTGTTGAGCATTTGGTGAGGCGTATGGCGGACCGCCTTCTTTCTGGATTGTCAAGGCCTCCCGAGAAAGCTTTACACGAACTTTCTGTAGCTCGCCTCGGTTGACTTGCATGTGCAAATAGCCCAGAGTAGCGGATTTCTGGAAAGTAAAAACACATCCTTTAAGGCATTACCTCCAATGAATTGGCCATAAACGGAGACTTGGAGAGTCAATGAAGGATTTCAATTGCAAACGAGGCGCAAAGCAGCTAAAAGGCAAGCGCAGTTATCGTCCAAAGAAAAACAACAAGAACCCCAAGAACCAACCTCCGCCATGTTTGGTCCCCAAGAAGCTCAAGAGATGAATGAACACTCTTTTAGGAGAGCAAGAATTTGAAGTTTTTAGACATATCCTTGTAAACAAGGCACAAAATGATCGAGTAGTAGCTCAATATCGTAAATGAGCGGATATAAGTAATGAGTTAATCTGTTATCTTTATGCTTGCTGTGCCGCGGCTAAGCTTCTTCTAGTGTTTACTGTGGACGGTCGTGTGGTACTGGGACTATGATACCATCATTCATTCATCATCATCATCATAGTAATCATCATCATCATCATTTCAACCATCGTTATAATCAAGTGATTCATCGTGGCTGTTAGATTTTTTACAGAAATTCATTGCCCCATTTCAAACTTTCTTGGTGATTTCTGAAAGCATTCACGACTTTTTCTCTCACGTTAGCCAGTTCAAGCCATGTATGCAAATTCAAAACAAGCAGCTCTTAGATGCAATGTTTGCAGAAAACCAAAATGAGCTGCTATTTAGCTCAGAAATGATAAGATATATATGATATAAAAGATGTAGGAATATTGGTGGTTCTCGCGCCAGGCATAAGACGCAACATTTTGTCCTCGAAAATTCACATAAGAACTTTCATGACAACTCCATACAATCGCAGAATTATTTCCGCATTTCTAAATTTCTTCACGTATTCAACATACTTTTATCAGTAAATCTTAAAAATGTAATGGAAAGAGCTAATCTTTTCTGACAGCAGAATAAGCCTTTTTGTCAAGGGTCCTGCGTCCGTCGCGCGCGGTAGGAATGATACCTCACGGTATAATATCTGAAATTATAAAACCAAAATCTTCAATTTAGGTTATTTTTAAGCATTATAAAACAGATTAACGACCCTTGATGTAAATCTTTAAACGCCTCGACACACAAAAGGAGGTATAAATATCGATTTTTACGATATAAACGTTTAGACAGGACATTAATGACAAACATGCGTACTGATTAATGAGAATGGGTGAATACGCAGTCCAAGATACGATTGAGATACCAATACGTAATGAATGGTCTGATGATGGCTAGCGATTAATGCCTTTCACAGACCCTGTAGGCCAGAGGATAAGGATTTTTTCAAAGGCTCATGACAGYTGGAGGTGAAAATTGATATTTCGTGCGAGGTAAACCCGTAGTGACCCGGAAACCCGACGGAGCGCGCGCAACCATAAACTCGAGTTGTACCATACACCATAATGTATGCCACTGTTACGCTAACTGAAAGGTAATTCGCCACCTCAATTTCCAAAAATCGTGGATTTCCAATAAACGTTTAGCGATAATTTCAAGTAAAATTCGATATTTTTTGCTTAACATGACTCACATCTGACCTTTTAATGCGCTCGATTTTGGCTATGTTGACTGAAATCAGTCTTCGGACGGACAACTATTCAACTTCGATTACAGATAAAGAATTATCAATATAAAATCACAAAACAAGCTTTGAGAAAAAGAGCTCAACTTACCATTTAGAAAGCGATATTCACACCAGTAAGCCAATATATTAAAACCATTAAATCGAACACAGATATTTTGTGTCTTCACTTCACTGCAGGTAACTTGTGACAACTAGAGTCATTTGACACAGTAGGGTTGTCACGTGAACGGTTATATTTAGAATAACTACGGCTTATCAGGAGCGGGAAAAGGCTCCAGTTTCTGATCGAAGTATTAAACCAAACAACGCAAGCAATCGCAAAGATTGAGCTGTCAATCAAAGGTCAAAATACTTCCATATCTTATTTCGTATAATTTTCTACAAAATTACAATAGATTAAACATTTGTAAATACTACCTTTATCAATATTCTTTTGTGTGTCGGCGAGTTTGATGATTGGATGAATTAAGAAAAGGGAAAGAACAAGCGTCGAAGCACAGAATAAAGCATGCCTCTTACCTATATTCAGTAGTAATCGCTCAAGACCGCCCCTATAGGGGATGTTGACAATACCGTAGACCGCCCCTATAGGAAATGCATTGACAATACCCTAGACGGTCCGTATTGCTTACTATCAATCACGTGACTTTTTGGAGTTGACTGGGGAGCAAACAAGCGGTTGGCGCGGCTGGGGGGCAACTAGCGGATGCTAAGTCAAAATATATCAAAATAAGTCCTCAAACTATTGTATTTGACTATTTTCACGACATCAAACCAGCTAAATAAGAGATCAAAACAACCTCCAGGATTCTACAAGCCATCAAAAAAGAGCTATTACCGGAAGTGACGTCTATTGATAGCAACCTATAGGGAATGCATTGAATATCCTACACCACAAGACCTACACTACCCCTACAGGGAATCACTTGGTAATACCCCAGACCGCAACTTTTACCTGGAGCATTCGGTTTTTTCCATAGTATTCGGATTTTAACCTGGAATATAATATAATATTTTTTCACCATTGATTTTGACCTGAAGCATTTTTTTCTCACCATTCGATTTTAATCTGGAATCAGTTCAATTCAGTTAATTTTATATTTTACAACCACCACTCCCCATACGGGGCTCTTCCGTGAGTTTCCCTCCACACGCACTACCACTACATTCTATATTGAGGACAACACATCAAACGAACTCAGCTCGTCACATGTTGACTTTTACGGAGGGAGTAAACCGGAGAACCCGGAGAAAACCCTCGTGGCAAGGAAGAAAAYAACACATCAAACAAACTCAACTCACATATTCCCTGCGTAATGAAACCAACGATTGTCGGTTTAAATACTTTCATTCCATTCCATTCCATTAAATGATATCAGTTCGTACCGTCGAGGTGGTCAGTTGGGGTGTATAAGGAGGGTATACATATATATAATAGTACATCACATATATGTTTACGTACTAAGAGTACTTCAGCTTTCACACGTGCCAGCATAAATCTTATAGCCCGGTAGATCGCATTACTATACTGTCTCAATACTACCACGAGTAGTTCATACCTTAATCCTATTTTCACAAACAATCTATCTTTTTTGGCCTTTMAAATTTTACGACTAGGTAAAAACCCTGAATCAGAATGGTTCTGAAAACATGTTGAAAGCCATGGTAGGGCGAATCGCGCCAAATGCAACCATCGACCAGATGCAGCCAAAATTTGCGCGCCATGYTTTTTCAGACATCTTACAAGATGGTAATACACTTAGCAGCTTGGCTCTCAGTGCTCCYAAACCATGGGGTCAAGCGAGTAGTTGTGCCTATTGTTAATTAATTTTGTTTCTTGTTTTGAAGACTCTTGATTCGATCGAAATGGCCGATTTCACTTCATCATCTACTTKGTGCTTTGCTGTTTTTGGAATATTGAGTTATTTAAGAGAGCTTCAAATATAACCTTATACTCATGCGTCTTGAGGCAATCATTCTACTAATATTCATTCTAATAACATCCGAAATCAGTACTAGTACAAAACTATTATTGAACAACAACGCACGTTGATCCAATTTCCTACAACGCATATATTCACCATTTACCCACTGCTAGGGAAATTTTGATCATTATTTACATATTCGGTAAATACCACGCGCAGCAAGTATGTTATTCCCGCACAAATCTGCAAACTGCGAAGCAATCGTTGTCTGAATCGTTGTAYTCAATGTCAATATAGAGCTGGAATAATATGAAGAACTGGGCGTCCCCAAGTACATGCAAGTAGTACGGCACAGCAAGCTCTCGCAGAAAAAAGATCACTTAGTTTAACGATTTTATGTTCAGGAAGCGTTGTTTAAAGCTAACTAGAGAAATCCCCACTCCTCAGAGAGATAACAAATCCGTGATTGCGATTATGACTAAAAAAGTTCCTACAGATAACGTCAAAATCAAGCAATAGTTGTATCTATTTCCTTACCTATTACGTGGAATATGTTTCCCTAGATAACCATGATAAAGGTCTGTAAAGTGATGTTCGGGGAGACCAGCTTGTTGATTGGTGTTCGTCACATCCTCGTCGTCCTGTTTGGTTGATTTACTTGGCAAGTTTTAGTGGATTGTGGAATCTCGAAAAAGGTCACTATCGGGCATAGTTCGGGTTTTTGGTTTTACCGTGTGATGAGATATTGAAACTAAAACCGATCATCTCAGGTTCCACTTTCTCGTCACGTTATCTACAAAAACACTCTCCTAATCCTGTTTATTATTTGTTTGAGAACTTTTTAGTCAACAAATGATTGAATAGCTTCAATTTTTCTTAGCAATAATATTTATAATCACGCTGAATATAAGACAGTTTACGTTGAGTGATCTTATGTTTTGCAAGAAAAGAACATGCGAAAGGAAAAGTTACATTTTTAGAAACATGTTTTCATCAATTTCTGAATTTCTCTATTTTCAAAAACCGATCCTTTACCTTTTTAATGAAACGAAAAGAACACCAGAAAGGAAAAGTTATTTTGGAGCTTTATCTCACATTTTCTTGCTAGCCTGCCAATTTTTCTATATTTGATGAGGAAACTGACAATCATTCAACACACTAGCCCGAGGCAATCAAATTTGCTCAGTCTGACCTGCGAAAAATTTTTTGTTGTTGCAAAAATGAGGTCCCAGAATCTCATTTTGGAATGACGCACTCACTGAATATTTCTTTCAGTATCTTTACACAAAAGCAACGTTGCCCCCCAGAACACAGGTAGCCCAAGGCTACCTGTGCCCAGACCAAACGYGAGGAAACATTTTTCTCGATTAAACCAAAAGGAGGGGATCGGTGATACGAAAATAGAAAAGAAATTGTATCCATACTCGGATYTTATTTCGGAATAAACTAAAAGGTAATCGACTTCACTGGACTTTTYTTTTCAAAAACAAAACCTAATAAATTTGCTTCGGACAGGCATATCACGTGACCAAAGACAAATACAGTACCATATCTTTATGATTCCTTATTTATTTAATGATTCTGGAGGTCTTTATGTACAATATATAAGATAGATAATGTTATTAAATAACTATAGGCTTATAAAATTTGCCGTTGATGAATAATAAAAATATTTGTTCCATACTCTTATCTTTTTCAATATCTTGCAGCTATATTAACTAAAGTAAGCTATTTTTAATCAAGTACTATAAATTTGGCAGTGCAGCATTTCCTTTCAGGAATTTAGGAGTATAGGTGCAGTAATACTTGTCTGACCGTCTGCAGACATAAGTGGAAAAGCTCTTCCTATCATTCACTGAAATACGCGAGGATTATTTGTAGAAGCCCTCAATGTGTTTTGAAAAACGTTCAAATAAGTTTGAAAGTCACAGTATCACAGAAATATGAACTTTGAGTGAGATCACGCATGGAAGTCAAATCAAAAGAGAAAAGTAGCCTGCTTTTGTAATATTCCCATGAAAGTTGAGTTTAAATTTAAGGTGGCTTTCAACGGGATATAGTTTTTCGCCACACGATGATAAACATTACGATTGAATACTGGGTATTAGTACGAAAGTTTGCAGTGATATACGACGCACAAAATAAACTCAACAAAATATAATAACACCAAATAGTACAAAATCATTCGCTTTCTGGTGTTTAAATATCAATCTTTTAGGRCTAATAATTTGTTAGTACACCTCGTGGATTTTTTCCGTGCAGCCCCTTCCTATTTAGCCATTTATGAATCTATTTCTAATTATGCTAAGCTGTTTTGTTGACATAAGTGTGAGATGGTTGGCAAGATGAATTTAAGATAAGTACAAAACATCGTTTTAAAATGGGTGTGGACAATCCTCTAGTCATCTACTCTTGCTGTGTGAGTGTCGTCCTTCATCATAGTACATGGACTTAATGAAAGGGTGTTGCAAGGCCTCCTTGGCAGTTATTCTCTTGCTGGGATCATATTCCAACATGTGATCCAGTAAATTGAAGAAAAGTTCATGATCCTCACTTTTTGATAACATGTATTTCTGAAACATTAATATAAGAAAAGTGTAATATTTCAAATTCCAGTTCTGAAATTTCAATCTCTTTCCTCATATAACAAGAAAATAAGAGATTAAATATAACGATTTTCTCTTCTAATGACATACCTTGAGAGGTTTACAGTTATCTCGTACATATTTTCCTGATGATGATCTCACATCCCAGTCCAACTTGCCTTTGTAGAAGTATTTCGTTTTTCTGAGATTAAATCATTAATAATTATAAATGAAAAGAATAAGTAGAAGCTTTTTGAGTAGATATTTCGGACGATATCCATCGTCCATCATCAGTTCAATGACTATCTATAAGTGTTTCATTACAGTGAAGTACTATAAAGCCCTAGGGACTAATACGTATTACAATGAATTACTGTAAACCCTAGGGACTAATATGTTAATAATTATAAAATATTTGAGATATATTACTCGAGAAACAAGTCCTTAGCTGTTTTAGCTTACTTGGATTTCTTGATCATGTGTGATGGCAATGGCCCAAGTATTCTTTCCATCATTGCCAAGTGCTCCTTATTCTCATGGGTCTGATATAAGGCAAAAAAGATAATATATAACATGCCATTTGGATAAATAAATAAAAAATAGATAAATAAATAAACGAATAAACAATTAAATTAAATAAACATTGAATTAAATTATATAAACAAATTAATAATTAGATCTTATTAACCGAGCGGTAGGTCTGTAYGGGATAATCTTGACYGAGGTCTGTACCCAACCGAGTACATGCAGCCTGTTTAAATATCTCAACCAAATATTTTTAAATACTTTCTGCAATATTTTTCATCACATTATAAACTAAACAAACTGGCATACTATACGATAAAGGCAACGTTGAACCAAAAAGTAAACAAAAAATTCCTTTAAGTCTTTGTTAAGTAATGACATCACAATATAGCAAACACAACTACATATCTATAATTTTCTTTTCATTTGAACATTTTGTATAACCTTAATTTTATATAATTCTCCAAGTACCTGAAAGAGTGTGAACCCTGCGTAGAGCTCAAATAGTATACAGCCTACACTCCACATGTCACAAGGGTATGACCATCCCAGCTCTGGAAGATAAATAGAGTCATCAGTGTCAAAATTAGTGGTGATAACTAGTAGAGTACTAGCGTTGAATGAGACAGCAGGGACTTGTGGATAAATTGAATCACTGTAAAAAGCTTTGTGAAACTAACGTTTTGGACGTTAGTACTTCTAGTACTTTGTCAGAGTAAGTGTCATAATTAATTGAAGTCTATAAATCTCAATAGAGCTGTTAAGTTTTGACGTATTTCTGGGTGTAACTGCTCACAAAAATGCTAAAATAAAGCAAAAATGTTTTCAGCAATTACCCTCTACCTGAAATAATTAGAACTTTGGAAAACAAGTGCTTTTGTGAAGATATACGGTAAGAAAAATATTCATAGAGCTGCTTTTTGTTTTATACCTGGAAGTTGTTTTTCTATTTTGTGACGTCACACTTAGAAGCTCTATAAATGAGACTAGGTAATCCTAAGGTGTGTGTGTGTGTGTATGTGTGTGTGTCTGTGATCCCAAGGCAAGGCAGGGTATAGAAAAATGATTTATTGAGGTTAATGATAGGTTACCCACCTATCAACGCCTAATGCGACTAATGCCCTGCCTTGCATGTGTTTAAACAGGAAGACAGAGAGGGATGATTTACCCTCCCCAAAAGCAAATCCTAGTTATCTACAGTGTATGCTCAGGCTGTATGCTTTATATACTTTACCCAATATGACTTCAGGAGCTCTATAGTGACGTGTTGACACTGTGGTACTGTGGTGTTCATGCTCAAATGTAGCAGATCCAAAGTCTATCAACCTCATGTTGGAATTCTTAAGGCATCTTTCATCTTTTTTCTGCAACAAAAATTGGTGAGCTAAGAAATRAAGTATTAGAGTGCACCTCATATATGTGAAACAATTATTACTAGCCATGTAGCTTTTAAAAGTATTTAGCTATCAACTATTATTTTGATTGTAAAATAAATAAGAATAACTCAGGCATGGACCACACAAAGGCATCTATAGGTATTTGCTTTTGTTCCCAATGCCCTGCTCTAGTAATATCCACTATTTTGTACAAAAAGTTACGATTAGACAATACATGTTTGGTTTTTGTTTCACAGATATCCATTGAACTCTCCTATGCATTGACTGACCTACATATAATTAGCAAGTTTGGGTAGGTGAGTCAGTATGTAAGCAAGTTCACTGCAAACCATATAAAATGGCAAACACTATATTATGAAATATATTTTTAGGAATTCATAAGTACCTTTTCTTTGTCGTAAAAAATATCACAATCTGAATTAACAAACAGCATATTTTCTGGCTTGAGATCTGTGTGTGTCAACTTCATGTCATGTAGAACTAAATACAACAAATACAAACATTTTCAATACATGAAAGACAAAATTCATTAATTTATCCCAACTAAGACCCCAAAGCTTAAACTAGTCTGTGTAAAGCAGATCAAGGGTGGATTTCAATCAATAGCATTCATGTTAGGATTAACATTAACCTTCATTAAAAGGTTTAACTGAGTAATCTAGGCTGGATAGCAAAGGTTGCAAGTTCAGATTAAAACAAACCCAGGTACAGAGAAGTAAATCTTGATATTCATTTAAAGGCTATGGTGGCTACCAACTATAGAAAAAAAACTTGATAAATTTTTTTTAAATCAAGAAAAAATTAAAGCTGATTTCAAATCTGGTGAGAAAAAAGGGGTTTTCCAGAAATTCATGATTAATTATGAGCGGATAAAAAAGAAAAAGAAAAAGAAAAAGAAAAAAGAAAGATAAAAAGTGATAAAAACTTCCTGTAAAAAATTTGAATGCCACTGGTAATCAAGCACTCGACTATATCTTTTCCTCCGTGAATCCATGATTTGGAAAATGTTGAGGAGCATACGCAGTAGCTTCATYATTCTATAGTATGCAGCCCCTTAAAAAATATCTTAACAGATTATGGGAAGAATTCATATTAGTGACTTACATTTGACTGCAACAAGCAACTGGTAGGCCATATGTTGCACTTGAAGTAAAGGATAAGCATCATAGCTGTTATCCTTCTGTAAAATAAATAATAAAGCTATCTTGGTTAAAATAATACCTATCAGCTGTAGGATCGATTGTGTACAAAGTTTGTTAGATGTTTTGATTGTCCATCAAAATCAACAGAGAGCTTTATTTATTTTTGGTATTCACTTTGTCACAACTTCTCATTTTACAGTGCAACATTTTTGACTAAAAACTTTAACTACATTTAATATGCACGAGCTTTGCACTGCCAAATGAAGTTTAAAAGTTTAAACACCTAATTTGTTACAACTGGCCAGCTTGGCATCAAATGTTATTGGTTTGATGTACAAAAGTCTTTGCCATGACCATTAAATGTGCTCATACTTTTGCAAATTGCACTGTAATGGGCTAAGGTCATGTCACCTGTTACTGAACAGAGAAAGACACAATAAATAACTTACTCACCATAAAATCAAACACACTAAGGCCCATTTTCTCAAATACAATGCACATGTGACCATGATAATTAAACCAGTCCAACATCTTTATGCACAGGCTACAGCAAAAAAAAAAACATGTAAACCAGTATTATATATAAATAATATAAAATTAAAACAAATCAACTTTGGTTATACAGTATAACACTTGACAGTAATGCAACTGATAAACTCATGGTGGCCCTAACATGTTCTTCCAAGCCAAGTGAAGGTCCTTCTCAGTTATTTTAAGATGTTAAGATGTGAGTGTTCATAGATCACAATTCCAGAAATTATTGATACCCTCCCCCCCCCAAGAGGGATTTGGAATTTTCGAGGGGTAGAGAGGTCAGAGAAAGAACAAAATTACAGAGTTCGTATGGAAGAAAATTGGGAGGGGATATGAATAATTTCTGGAACTACACATTTAGGACGTAAAGTTACAAAGGATATCAAGGATTAGTGCAGTTTTACATTTTCTGCGAACTCAGACATTCCAACGGCTTGTTGTGACATGTGTTTTTGCTACCATCTATCAAAACTAATTATTGGTTCCTTGAATGTTTTCCACTGACGGCAGTGAAAAACCCATTTCACAACAAGCCAGCATTGGAATGTTCGAGTTCACTGAATATGTAGAACTGCAGTAATGCTTTAAAATTTACCTTCTCCCAGATCTACTTCTTTCATTAATTTTTTCTAACACTTTGATTTCTAATTTGGCTGCTTCCCTATTGAATAAAAACCATACAATATTAATAAAACCATCATATTGACCAAGTTCTGAATGCAGAGTCAAATTCCTTGACCTGTAAGGAAAATAAAACTCTATGTAATAGCAAATATTATGGATGCATGTAAATGAGATATGAATGAACGCAACAAGCATTGTATCGACCTGGTAGCCTCCCTTGTATGTAATAG